ATAGAGAGGGACAATTTGGTCTTTTATGGCTTTTGAAAGAGATGTTGCATCACGGTTCTTAATTACAACAAAAAAATAGCATGGGAATTATTTTGCTAACAGCACATTCCTTTTGCAACTGCCTGCCTAATGCTTCTTAGAGAAAAAGTATTTGCTTCCTAAAGCCACCTTCTGGGACATCAGTTAAGAGTCCTGCAATTTGACTATTTTTGCATCTTGCATGGGTTAACTAGCTTGTATAAAAAAGACTGATAATTAGGGATTTTTTAATGCTATATGGTATACCCTGTGAGAGATGAAGGATTCTCTCTGAACGCTGTGTCAGATAAGAATATCTGTATTTTGTGGACTTTGGGGCACAGTATTTCAAGAAAGATGAAGGTTATTGGACATAGTCCAGAGGATAGCAGGAAGAATGATCAGAGGTGTAGAAAACACAGCATATGAAAAAAGTCTGTCAATCTTCAGGTTTAGTTGTTTAGTCTAAAGAAGAAAAAACTGAAAGGAAATTCATAATAGCCTTCTAGTGTGTACAACTTTTCTGTAAAGAAGGAGAAAAACATTCCTCATGTCCACTGGGAGCAGAGCAAAAAGTAGTAAGTTTAAATTACAACAAAGAGATTTAGGTGAGACATTACGGAAAAAAGCCCTTTCCACTGTAAGGATAGTTAAGCACAAGAATTGCCTAGGGAGGTTATGAAGAGGTTAGACAAACATCTGTCAGAAATGATTTAGGTATAGCTAATCCTGCTGTGAGATAAAGTGTTGGACTAAATAACCTTTTGAGGTCCCTTCTAGCACTATTTTCTGTGATTCTGTGATTAGGATACTGTACTCACATTGTCCTGCAGTAAGATGTTTCTGCGCAGGGATGATATCACTGTATTCTGCTTTGCATGCTTTGCTTTGTTTTTGCTCTAAGCTGATGGGGACCATGGATGTCTGATGTTTAAAGCACTTAAGCTGTATTCTTACTACCTTAGGAGCTTTGAGCAGGGCATAAGGAGTTTGTTTTCAGGCAGACAAACCCTGTTCTGGTTTTGCGCTAAACGTGCCTATTAGAAGAGCTATCGGTACACACCTCAAAATTAGCAGCTTTTATTATGTCTTTTAACTTGCTGTCAAACCCTTATATGGGTGGATGCTCAGTTTCTGCTTATAAGTGAGATGCAAACAGAAAAAGAAAAAAAAATAGCCGTGAAAAGAAATGTATCATAGCTTCCCTGTTGGTAAAACCAAAATAAAACCAGGCATGTTCTAAAGCTGAATATAACACAAGTTTGAAACATCCTGGAACTGACAGATGGAGAATTATATTAAAGTACCAGATATTATCATTATTACTTCATCAGAGAGACCATTGAAGGCGTCAATTTAAGACTGTCCTTATCCCCTGTAACACTCGAACTCTTTAACTTTGTTCTTCCATTTGGCACTCTGCCAGCCGGCAGGATTTGTATTCAGCGTTGCATTCGGCAAGAGCATGTTCGCAATATTGCTTCTGCATACTGAACATGGCTCCAGCACAGCTACACATTGATGGGTTTTGTAAAACTCCCATCTGGAGGAACAAGGAATAGGAAGCTTCTGATTTTGAAGTAGTTTATAAGAAATTGGTCATACTCTGCATGTTACGTTGACAGAAAGCGTGTCTGATTAGTGCCACTGTTCTTACAGAGATGAGGTCGTCACGGCATTTGAAACAGGGGTGTACTGTCACGTGACAGCAGTGACCTTCTGTAGGTCAACCTGCTCTGGCGGGGGGGGGTTGGACTAGATGATCTCCAGAGGTTCCTTCCAACCCTGACCATTCTGTGATTGTGACCCAAGTGTGTGGTTTTCATGGGTGGCACTGCTCTGTACCCAACAGGGAAGATGGGACAGTTCTTGGTTTGTTGATCCTTTAAGAACTTGAAGATTCATCATCACATGTTTTCCCCAGTGTAATCTCATAACTTTTCACAGTTATGTGGTCAGCTGCCCGTTTTTACTCAAGCAGTGAGCAGTTTCCATTTTCTCAGACAATCTCACTTTTTCACTAGGAAGGGGCAGGATTGGGGAAGGCAGGCTCTGTGGTGCTTGGCAGAGAGAGACAAAGCAGACATCTCATCTGCAGATGCAGAGTCACGGGGATCCTCCTTGCTGAGAGCCACAGCTCTCTGCGATGGACTTCACTACCACGTTCTCTGCAGGCAGGGCCCTTAGGCAAGGGTTTCTGGCTTAGCATCTAGAAGGGAACCTGTACTGTCAAACAAGCTGTCTCCATACTGCTTACTCCTGGTTTTGTAAGAGTAGCTTGGTATTCATCCGATTTCAAAATTGAGAAGATAAGCTGAATCCCTACAAAAAGAAAAATACCATTTTTTTTCTAATGCAACACCTCATTTGCAGACCTCAGAATTTCACTAGTGAAGGCTTCTCTTGCAAATATATATATACACACATGTTTTGTATAGGGATATGCCCAGTACTATCCAGTCAGTGTCATGTTATCTGAAAATACAGTGTATATTCAGCACTGGAGCTAAAAGTAAATACAGACTTCAAAAATATATTTTGTTTAAAGATGACAAACACAGAATGTTCTGCAGTATCTATCTGATAATATTTGAAGATCATATAAAGAAATTTTAATAAAGGAGAGATCATTTGAATAACAAGTGTATTATATTTTACTTGGGAAAAAGTAATTAAAATTACAACCTTTGCCCTGCTTTCACTGAGCTACATACTTTGCAAATTTATTCAAAATAAGAGTTGTTAGGAGTTTCAAATAGTGCTTTTTTCCATTTCATTGTTCAAAAACTCATCAGGACACGTATTCTTGTTAAAAAGCAGTCTTGCCTTTCCAGCCTTTCTGGAGGGGTTTATTCCCAGCCCTGATCTGGTCCCAAGTGGTGCTGCCCCAGGAAAACCTAAGGGATTTGCAAGCAGGGCGGCGTGAGCTTGACCCCTCCAGGGCATCGGGCACCCCGGGAAGGGCACGCACCCACACGGGCAGGGGGACAGGATGACTTTTGGGAGGCTTTTGCCTCCCTCTCCGCAGCATGCGAGGGACCAGGTGGGTTTCCATCCCCTGCCCACTTGCCCCATGCCATCCGAAAGGGCCCAGGGCAGCCCAGGCTTCTGCTCCCTCTTCCCCAGCTGCTGCTCAGCCCAACAGCTGGATCTGGAGCGAAACAGCTGAGCAGCAGTTACAGCTTCATGCGTACAACTGTTATGATACGGGTTGTCTGCTAGAGGAAGAGATAATGATAGCTTTCAAGGCTAATATGTTTGGCAAGGAGGGGAGCTGGTACTGGAGGGAAGGGAGCAAGAAGTCAGTAGCAATCTTTAAAAATATAAATGTCTGCCAGAATTCAAATTTCAGCCTTCGATTGATTTCATACACTGCGCTCTCTCTGCTCCTCTCCTCCGGTGCTTTAGTAGTCATTAAATGAACTTGAACATGTTTGTATCGATAACCCTTTTTTCCTAAAAGCTATTAATATCTAAAGCAATATAAATACAGGTGTAATTTTGATGTCATATTGTCAGAAGCCATTTCAAATACTTTATACTTTTCAGAGACACAAGTACATGTAAAGTGGTAAGTATGCCATAACTAATGGTATTATTAGTTTGATTTACTGCCAACCAGTCAGCTTTACAAAAATCAATCGCCAAGCTCATAAAGTGTATCCCTAAAATTTGTAATTTTTTACACTATCAATAAGAGAAAAGCTGAAGTTACAGGTTTATCTTTCTTATTCTGTGAGTTACTGGTAGAAAAGTATCTTGCAGATTGCTCTGATATACAGGAGTGTGTGTATGAGAGAGAGAGAGGTTATAGAAGCCATAAGCTATAAAAAGTTTTTTTTAAAAAATAAAAATCTGAGTGATCTTTAGACAATTCAGATGACATGTCTAACAAGGACTGTCAGTAGAATAAATGTGGTTATGATAATATATTGAACCATTAACACATGTCCTTATCGTAATAGGACTTACACAATGGTAGTTCCTGTCAGATTCCACTCAATATGTACAGCATGTTTGTCTGATGCACAGAAAGACAACTATATCTATTTCATTTCAGCTCTGAATTGACACTTCAATTTTAAATCACCCACAGAACACCTTAGCTTAAATCTGAGCTTCTCCCTGGTACTCTTTGTCTTTTGTCATGTTTCCATATGAGTATACTGAAAAGACGTTACAGGCAATCTGCTGTACTGTGTGTGTATGGTACATTTGACCTCTGGACAAGAAAGGAGTTTCATCCTCCAATGCTTTTAATTCTTATCCTCGCAGAGACTGAATTTGTTGCTTGCATTAAAATAGTATGTCTCGTTAATGCTAAGAAGCGGTGACCCACATAGCACAATGGATTCATTTGTCAATCCTGCGACTTCTGAGCTTTCCGTTCATATATGTCTTAGCAGCAAATCAACTCAGAAATCATTTAATCAGTCTATCAATGCATCCTCTTGTCAGTCGTCTGAATCCTGAAAATTCCAGGATCTCATTGGGCAGCACCAGGAAAAATAGATTTGGACCTAATACTAGATATTAAAACTCCAAATTCGCAGCTCAAACCCACAAAAATCCAAAGAAGAAAAGTAGGATCTGGAAATTGTCTTGAATGTTGACGATATTCATGTTCTGATCTGGGTCTGAACTTCAGCGTGCAAACCTGTCCCTGTTTGTTAGCATTTCTGAAATGCTCTACATGCAGTTACAGAAAGCAGTGCCCTTTTGTTCCCCCTATAAAGAAACAAGCTTTCATTGCTTTTTGCTATTCCCATGGGCTGAGGCTAGAGCCTGAATAGTTTATAACAGTCAGTGTTATGCAAATGTCAATCATATCCTTATTCTGTTTATTTCCAGTATTTACATGTTTATTTAAGTACTTGCCATTTCTTTTAAGCCTTATATAGCCAATCAGGCCCACAGAGGTCTCTAAAGAAACAGAGCACTTTGTTAGTGATATGCTTAATACAGTTTTTTTCCTCTTATAGATGCAAGATTTACGGAGTACAGAAGGAGCCCAGTATAGTTCCCATCCTCAGATGGCAACCATGAGGCCAAGGGTTCAGCCTGCAGATATTAGGCAGCCAGGAATGATGCAGCACGGGCAGCTGACTACTATTAACCAGTCCCAGCTCAGTGCACAGCTTGGTTTGAATATGGGCGGAAACAATGTTCCTCACAACTCGCCCTCTCCACCTGGAAGCAAATCTGCAACTCCTTCACCATCCAGTTCAGTCCATGAAGATGAAGGAGAAGATAGCTCTAAGGTAGGCTTAGACGCTAGGATTACTTGGTAAATGGTGGATATTTTTAGGACCTGCTAAATGAATCGTATGGCCACAGTTATTAAGATGATACTTTATACATTGTTGGTGGTTGACTGAAGGGAATAAAGGGTTATGAATACAGAACTTATAGTTTCCAGTCAATTCTTTAGGCAGCTTAAGTAAATGACATCATTCTTCTTCGCAAGAGCAAACTGGAATCCTGTAAAACACTCAAAGGACAGCCATTCCTTTAGGACTTTAATATAAAGGTTGAGTTTTCTCACTTGCATAGAAGGGGTGTTTGTTCCCAGTTAAAGATCAAGTTACTGCTATAAAAAGTATGAACAGTCTGTACAATATGCTAGTCTTTGCTACTTGGTCACAGGATGAGTAAACAGAACATCATAGCAACCAGAACAGAAAGATCCTCTACAAACTTTAAAAATCTTACCTCAAAAATCTTGAAGGTCCATTATGCATTTATACTTTGGGAGGTGCCAACACTCCATCATGACATATTTAAGCTTCATTTTAGCGTTAGTACAGGTGTGAGATAATAATAGTCATTTACATAATGAATTTCTTTAGAGGATGAATGTCAATTTTTACAGCAAGTTTTGCATGCAAAACCTCCCAAACCTCCCAAAATGCTGACCCCCCCCCCCCACAAAAAAAAAAAAATAAACACAAAATTCTTTCTTTTTTTCAAAAACA